TATTTATTTATTTATTATGTATACAATATTCTGTATGCCTCCTGGCCAGAAGAGGGCGCCAGACCCCATTACAGATGGTTGTGAGCCACCATGTGGTTGCTGGGAATTGAACTCAGGACCTTTGGTAGAGCAGGCAATGCTCTTAACCTCTGAGCCATCTCTCCAGCCCTTAAAGTTTTTTTTTAACTATCAGTTTGGTTTTCTTTGTTTTATTTCTTTTTTGGTAAATTTTTGTGGTTGGTTTAAGCTGTTGAATTTGTTGGTGTTATACCCCTATTATTTTGAATAGCTGCATTTTGTGGTATAGTCTTGTGCTCAAGGTATTTGTTACGTGGTCTTCTTGGCCATTCAGTAGGACCACTGAGATGACTTGGCGTAAGGATGCTTGCTGCCACACCTGCTAACCTGTTTGATTTCCTGAAGCCACACAGTAGGAGAGAACTGACCTCCACACATATACACAAGTAGATGAATGTGCTAAAATCTTGGTGGTGTATTTAAAGTCTAGGATCCACTTCAGGGCTAGGACTTGGTTTTACCTTGCTGGCAAGCTGTCCTGTGAGACTGTTCACTGCTCCAGGATGCTGGTCATCGTGTGCACAGGTAATACTGTAAGTGTGAAGCAGCTTCTGCCCGTCGTGGTGATAGCTCTGCTTTCCAGAGCTGATGAAGGCATATGGAGGAACTGCTGGGGAGCCTGACACTTTGGGGTTTGTTTTATTTTTAATTATTTTATGTTCATTGATATTTTGTCATGGGTGTTGGGTCCCCTGAAACTGGAGTTACAGATGGTTGTGAGCTGTCATGTGGGTACTGGGGATTGAACCCAGGTCCTTTGGAAAAGCAGTCAGTGCTCTTAACCACTGAGCCATCTCTCCAGCCCAAGGCTGACACTTGGAAAGTATCATTCTGAGTGGTGATTTTGCAGAGCTTAAAGTCAGGTAGCCTCCTTGCCCCTGCGTCTCCTTCATGACTTTATTGGACAAGATGACAATGGCGTTAAAGTTGGCCTTTGTGCTGCCTCCTTGAGTGTGGAGGACTCAGGCTTCCACTGTAATATCCTAGGATTGTGGGAGGCATATAGGGTCCTGGAGAACAAAGAGAATGGGAGGAAATATAGACGAGGGGAGAAAGTGCCACTTGGGTGTCTGTCGGGTATCTTTGCTACGTGATAAATTATCCCAGCGCAAAACAGCCTAGAACAACATAGTGGTTTCTTACTCAGATTCTTGTCTTAGAAATGGCTTAGCTCCAAAGTTCTGGTCTAGGCACTCCCCCAGGGCTGCACTCTCTGACTGCCCACCTGCAGCTGAAGGGTCTGTTTCTGAGCAGGAGTGTCCCCCGCCCCAAGGCAGTGGGTCACCTTCATATCAAAGCAGCTGCTTCCCTCACAGTGAAAGATAAGCAAGACAGAAAAAACTCAGCTTTATTCAGAGTCCAACTTTGGAAGTGAGGATAGCTCACAGATCCCACAGATCAGCTCTGACATGGTGGAGAGGACACAGAGAGAGTCACAGTGGAGAGGACAGAGAGAGTCACAGTGGAGAGGACAGAGAGAGTCACAGTGAAGAGGACACAGTCACAGTGGAGAGGACACAGAGAGAGAGAGTCACAGTGGAGAGGACATACACAGTCACAGTGGAGAGGACACAGAGAGTCACAGTGGAGAGGACACAGAGTCACAGTGGAGAGGACACACAGAGTCACAGTGGAGAGGACACAGAGAGAGTCACAGTGGAGAGGACACAGAGTCACAGTGGAGAGGACACAGAGTCACAGTGGAGAGGACACAGAGAGTCACAACCAGTGGAGTCACTGCACTTTTTGTTTGTTTAGTTTTTTTGTTTTTGTTTTTTCGGGACAGGGTTTTTCTATAGCTTTGGAGCCTGTTCTGGAACTAGCTCTTGTAGACCAGTCTATCCTCGAACTCACAGATATCCGCTTGCCTTTGCCTCTGGAGTGCTGGGATTAAAAGCATGTGCTACCACTACTCGGCTGGAATCACTGTTTTTGAGACAGGGTCTCATGTAGTCCAGGCTAGCCCTAAATGCTGGGATCACAGGTGTACACCACCATGCCCAGCTCTCTGTGAACTGTCCTCAAAATAGTTACCCTGGTGACCTCACCTGTTGGCTTCTCTGATGACATTCTGGTGACCTGCTAAAGGCCAGGCTTGGAGAGCCTCCTGGAGATCTGGTTTGTGAGTAACGCAAATGTGTTGAGCTACACAGAAAACTGTAGCAGGGACTGGGGCAGCACTTGCTCTTGCAGAGAACTCAAGTTCAGTTCCCAGCACCCATGTCGGGCCCCTCACAACCATCTGTAACTCCAGCTCCAGGGCATCTGACTCTCTTTGCCTCCATGTACATAATTTTAAAAAATTAAAAATAATTTGAATTAGACCCAATAATGTCTACTCCCTCAACACTGGCTATCACAGTGGGAGCATGGATCTGTTTGGAGATATAGATGACATTTCTTCAGAGAGCGATGAAGACCAGCGGACGCCTGTTCCAAGACAGCCTGTGGTGAGTATAGTCACCAGCCACACTGATCACAGGATTGCAAGCTAAGAACAGGTATTCAGCAAAGGTTCGTGAGAGGTTCGTCTCTCATGTTGAGGGGGGCGTTCGTAGAGTACTAACCGTGTGGTAACAGTCTTAGCTGACCTGGGTGTCTGACTGAGACTTTTGACGTGACAGGTTTTGATTTGAAAGGTCTTTCTTATGCACATGTGTGCTGTCTGGGCAATGTTGATATTCCTTTCTGATTTTAGTAGGTACTTAGTAATGAAGGGTTGAATTATTTGTACTTCTTCAATGTCACACCAGATAGAAAATGAGCTATGCCAACAAAATACACCTTCCTAGTAATGCAGGATAATATGTCTTATTCTCCATGGAATGCTGTTTTCTTTGTGGGTGCGGTTGGGGTGAGGTTTGGGGGAGGGACTTGGACCAAGGCTTGGCTGACTATTCCTAAGGGGGTTCTGACTTAACTTCCTCTCAAATCTGTGTCTGCCACACGCAGCTGGAACACTTAGCCTGTCTCTTCCCGCTCTCCCCTTCTGATCCCTCCTCAGGGCGGATGTGGACTGCCTCGGAACCAGCATGTGGACCTGCGTATTCCTGAAACCAGAGTAAAAGTTGAAATTCCCAGCATCAACACTGACTTAGGGAATGAACTGTATTTTGTTAAACTCCCCAGATTTCTCAGGATAGAACCCAAGTAAGAGAACTGAATAAAATGTTCAAGAGATTGAAAAACAATATAAAATGTAAATGAACTGTTATGAGTTGACCAACTCTAAAATGAAAGGTGTGTCACGTGACCGGAACGAGAGCCTGGTGAGTCACTGTAGAGAATTAGAACGCTGGCCGGCTTCCTGCCTCTGCCACTTTGCTGTAAATGGACAGATGGCATATGACAATGTCACTGTGGAAAGCTAGAAACACAGGGTGACAGCAGAGAGACGCCAGAGAAGCCCTGGTGGCCAGTGTCAATGGCACTGAATCTAGGCCGGATGGTGACTTTGACGGCAAAGTGGTGTTGGCTCTCCTTACTCACTAAGGTGCAAACTCTAAGGGGTAAATTTTAATCCCTGAACTAAAGATTTTAATTTGTTGTTAATTTTTATTTATTTATTTATTTTTTAAATATAAAAATGTCATGCCCAGATTTGATTAATTAAGCTAAGGGACTTTTTTGATTAAACTGGTCTTTTTGTTTTGTTTTTGTTTTTTTTTCGAGACAGGGTTTTGTGGTTTTGGAGCCTGTCCTGGAACTAGCTCTTGTAGACCAGGCTGGTCTTGAACTCACAGAGATCTGCCTGCCTCTGCTTCCCGAGTGCTGGGATTAAAGGGTGTGCCACAATGCCTGGCTCAAGGGACGCTTCTGAAGCCTTTCCCTGCTTTCACAGCCCTTCAAATAGTCCCGTGGCCCTGGTTTTTAAATATGGATGGGCCGGTTATTTTTACCTATGCTTTATACTGTGTGTTTCCTCCAGGAGGATTTTGAATTACGAGCCCTGTTTGGATTTTATTTCAGGAAGTTTGTTTTAAAAAGCAAATGAAGGGAGTAGCCATTGGCATACTTCCTGAGGGTTCCATGAGGCTGTGGTCAGCTGTGACGCATGTGTAGAGACATGGGTTATAGTGCCCATCAACCATTAATTGTGACTAATATGGCAATTTTTTAGACCTTTTGATCCTCAGCATTATGAAGATGAATGTGAAGATGAGAAAGTGCTTTATGAGGACAATAAGACTAAGTTAAAGTTGAAGGTATTCTGCCATATTTTATTCCTTTTCTCTCCTAGTGCCCCTGTCACCTTAGCCTTCTAGTAGCTGTGGCCACTACCATGCCAGGCTAGCTGCTTCTTACAGTTTTTCTTTTAGATTTATTTAATTCATGGGAGTGCTTTACTGCATGTATGTATGTGCGCCATGTGTGTGCCTGGCATCTGCAGAGGTTGGAATTCATGTGTGTGAGTATTTTGACTGTGTGTATGTGTGTATGTGCACCATGTGTGTGCCTGGCATCTGCAGAGGTTGGAATTCATGTGTGTGAGTATTTTGCCTGTATGTATGTGTGTGCACCATGTGTGAGTTTGGCACCTGCAGAGGTTGGAAGACGGCATCGAACCCTCTGGAACTGGAACTTATGAATGGTTGTGGATCACCCTGTGGATGCTGGGAATCTGGATCCTCTGATAGAGCAAGTGTTCTTAACCATGAGTCACCTCCCAGGCCCCTAAACTTCTCCCTTAGACGGTAAACGCAGGGATGCTCTTAATGTTGCCTGCTCACCCAACAAGCAGCTCTTGGACATGGAAAAACAGCCTTTCCAGACATTAGGGCAGTGGGCACACATCTTTTCTCTCTCCTCTAGAATTTTTCTCAAGTTTTCAGTTTTTTTATTTTTCATTTCTTTGAGACAGGGTTTCTCTGTGTAGCCCCAGCTGTCCTGGAACTCACTCTATATAGACCAGGCTGGCCTTGAACTCAAGAGATCTGCCTGCCTCTGCCTCCCGAGTACTGGGATTAAAGGTGTGTGCCATCCTGTCTCAGCTCTAAGTTTAACTGAAATAAAGGTAGAAACTGTTGAAATGCACTAGCTTCCCTCAGATAAACAGTGTTGTAAGGTGTACGGGCTGTCTCCACACTTCCTCCCCGCAGCCTCCCACCACGGAAGTGTTCCTTCATGGACACTTTGTGCGCAGATGCAGACCTTGCCATTAGGGGATTTCTCTAGAGAATACCTGGGATGACAAAACACTACTGGTGTCCATGTGGAGATGTTACCTCCCAAACAGCGGTAACTCTAGGTGTGGTTCATTTTTAGTGGTCTTTTGTGACTTGGAGTTTTCCATTTCATGAGTTAATTTGAACTCAAACAGAACCAGGGATAGGTCTCACTTTTTTCTTTTTAAAAATCATATTTATTTGTGTGTGCAAGAGCATGCACATGTGTGTGCACATGGGCCAAAAGGCGGTGTGCAGAGTCTTCTCCTCCCACTACATGGGTTCTGGGGATTCAACTCAGGCAGTCAGGTGTGGCAGCAAGTGCCTTACCCAGTGAGCCACGTCACTGGTCCTAAGAGACACTTTTTTTTTTTTTTTTTTGGAAAAGGAGGGATTTCTTTTATTTTATCCTCCCTTCACTCCTCCCAGCCCCTTCCCTTTCCCCAGATCTTCTACCACTCCATTTCCCTTCAAAAACAAACAACAACAAAACAAGCAGGCCTCCCAGGGATATCAACCACACGCGGCATAACAAGTTACAATAGGACAAGGCACAAACCCTCCTATCAAGGCTGGATGCAGCAACACAATAGTAGGAAAAGAGTCCCAAGAACAGGCAATACAGCCGGAGACACCTCCACTCCCACAAGAACACCAAGCTACACAACCGTAACATATACGCAGAGGACCTAGCTCAGACGGGTTCAGGGTCCATAACTGTCACTTCAGTCTCTGTGAGCCTCTGTGAGCCCTGCTTAGTTGATTCTGTGGGCTGTGTTCCCTAAGAGACACTTTAAAAGCTCCCCGCTCCCACCCCCGCACAGGGCCTTCAAGGTTTGTGTGTGTGTGTGTGTGTGTCTCTCGGGGGGGGGGGGGGCTGGGAATAGAACTGGGGGATCTCACATGTGCTAGCCAAGTGCTTTATTTACCAGGGTTACACCCTCAGCCGAGGTGTCAATATCAGCTGTTTACCCTGGGTGGCCTAATCTCTTTTCCCGGAGAGCTCTTACTTAGCTGTGGCTACAGGCTGCATCTGGTTTAGCCTCTCCTCCCACTGCTCTGACCTGGACCCCAGGAAAAGTAAACAGAAAGCCTGGTAATTTTAACCAGCCCGCCCAGATGCCTGTGGTGAATGGGTGGTAGTGCTGCTGAGTCAGCCATTTTCTCACCACCCGTCCATTCTCAGCACACAGGCACGACTAATTCAAGGAACAAAAGCCAAATAGCTGGCTGAGTCGGTTGCCAGTACCTTGTCTTTTGAATCAGGTGGAAAACACTATACGCTGGAGGATCCGCCGGGATGAAGAAGGCTATAAAATTAAAGAAAGCAATGCCCGTATCGTCAAGTGGTCAGATGGAAGGTGAGTATTGGAACACCCGAGGGAGGCCTGGGTAAGTTGGAATTTTCTGTGTAGGGCTTTATTGAGAAAATCTGGGCTGCTGGCATTACCTCAGAAACCTGAGAGAGAGAAGCAGCGATTAGGCCTTACAGCTGGACTAGTGGGCGAGCGTAGAGCTGGCTCAAAAGGATCAGCTCCCTCTAATGTCTTGCCTCTGAAACCTCAGTGTAATCTGAAATAACCTTTGTTGGCGGTGCTGGGGATCAAACCCTGTGCTTCATGTGCACATGGCACGTGCTCTACCAACTGGACTAGGACCCTACCCCCTCAGTTGGAATTACTCGAGAACTCATTTCAGTTTGCTGAAATTAAAAGATACAGATTGAAGGACAATTCTATTTCAGTCTGAAAAATATATTACACCATTCTTTACTCTGAGGTGCGTATTCGTTACTTTTCCATTGCTCCGATAAAACACCATGACCAAAGCAATATACAGAAAGAAGAAACAAGTGTATTTAGACTTACAGTTCCAAAGGGACCTGGGGCAACAGGCAGTAGGTATGGTGGTACGAACAGCTGAGAGCACTCATCTGTCAAGCCAGGCAGGAAGCAGCGAGAGAGAGGAGAGTTAACTGGGTTGGGGGCTTGGAAACCTCAGAACCCACCCCCAGTGACGCACTTCCTCTAGCAAGGCCACACCTCTTAAACACACCCAAGCAGCAACAACAGGAGATCAAGTTTTCAAACGTCTGAACGTTTTTGGGAGGCATTCTTACTCAAGCCACCGCAGAGAGCTGATTTCATTTTTGTTTGTTAAAGGCGTGGTGGCGCACGCCTTTAATTCCAGGACTCGGGAGGCAGAGGCAGATGGATCTCTGTGAGTTCGATGAGCTATGTAAATTTATGGTCAGCCTGGCTTCTCATAGCAAGTTCCAGGCCAATCAAGGCCACACAGTGAGACCTTGTTTCAAACAAACAGAAGACAGGGTTTCTTGGCCCATCCTGGCCGAGAATTCACTTTATAACTGACCCTGAACCTGTGACCTTGAGCTCCTGATCCTCTTACTCCACCTCTCCAGTGCCAGGGTTACAGGCAAACACTTCCATACCCAGCTTGGAAGGAGGCTATTGAGAACGTTTTAAAAAACAGATTTATTTATTTATTATGTATACAGTGTTCTACTTGCAGGTGTGCCTGCACACCAAAAGAAGGGCGCTAGATCTCATAGATGGCTGTGAGCCACCATGTGGTTGCTGGGAATTGAACTCAGGACTTCTGGAAGAGCAGCTAGTGCTCTTAACCACTGAGCCATCTCTCCAGCCCTAAGAGCATCTTTTTTTTTTCCTCCCTGTGAATTCTATATGAGGACAGGATCCTGAACTGGTCACTAAGCATCTTAATACAAATGTTTCCCCTCTCCAGCATGTCCCTGCATTTAGGCAGTGAAGTGTTCGATGTCCACAAAGCCCCACTGCAGGACAACCACAACCAGCTGTTTATACGGGAAGACACTGGTCTCCGGGGACAAGCCATCTTTAAATCCAAACTTACCTTTAGGTAACGTTCTCTTTTCACTGGTTGCTACTTGCTATTGAAGACCAAGGCAGAGCAGTGATGCTGAAAGCCTGACCCTTTGGACTGGCGTCACTCCATAGAGCAGCTCACCAACCACCTTGTCTGGTTCCAAGATGAGTGTTTAAAGTTAACTACAGGTTTCTCGGAGAACCAACTCATGCTAAGAAAGCTTACAAGGGACTGGTCCATGGCTTCTCAATGGCCAGGGCACTTGGAAAAGACTCGCCATTGTAGCTTGCCAGTCTGGCGTGTCCTTAACCCTCTAGTGGAACTAACCCCCCAAAGCTAAAGTGCCATCAGAATGTGGTGCTGGTGTGTGTGACGAAAGCGGTGGTAGCCAGTGCCCACTCGAGACACAGGGCCAGCTCTGCTGGCTCCAGTGGGTGATCTTTGGCACATCCTCTTAAGGATGTACCTGGGACTAGAATCCAGCTTTCCTTGAGCGGTACTGTACTGTAATTACCATGGCGGTGGACACATGGTTCCTTTGAAGCTGCTGAACTATTTTAAAATCAGATTGTAGTCATGGCTGCACAACTTTGAAAATTAAAAAAACAATTATAAACGTAAAATAAGGTCCTGTTGGGTGTATATTATTAGTAAATGTGTTGTGTAACAACTATAAGGTTATATAGTCTTGAGGGTCTCACCAGTTTGCAGTTTCCTTAGCTATGTGTGTCACTGGGATGTCGTGTTAAATAGTACATAAACCTGGCACAGTTAGTGCTCAACCTTCCCACTTACGAATGTTTTCTAGAAGTATCCTGGACCGTGTGCAGCTCTTAGGTTTTGCTTTCTGCCCTTGCTCTGAGCTCTACACTGGGGTAGTATTTGACTGCTTGGCACAAATCTTTCCTTAGGTCCTTTCTTCGATCTTCAGGACCCACTTACAAGCTGTCCTCCCATGCTCAGGAAGGCACTTACTGTTTGTGACGGTATTGCTATGTAGCCCGGGGCTGGCTTTGAACTCACTATCCATATTCACCCCAATCTTGCAATCCTCCTGCCTTTGTCTGGGTGATGGGATTACAGGTTGCTTCCATGCTGAGACTCTTGTCTCATCCTGAGCCATTGTGGTTCACTCTGTTTCTAAGACAAGATCACACACTTGGCCACCTACTTTTTAAAACCGTCCTCCTCCTTTTATTGGTTGGAGGCGACATCTTTCAGTTCTCAAAATGTTTCTGCTAGTGCATGTTCCACCCTTGTGGATCTGGGATTTCATGGCCCTCGTCTGTGATTGTAGTTGGGCCTGTTCTTTGTGGAAAGCACTTGATGTGGCCTCCTGCCTTTCTCCTCGCACTCTGGGGCAGTCCACTTCACTCTCCCTGAGTGGGTGAACAGAGGGAAACCGTGGTCCTCCTGCCTCCTTGCTCTGCTCAATGGTGAGGTCATCATGGCTCACGGGCGGTTTGGGTGTTCTTGGTAAAAGTGAGACAGATATTTCCTGTTCATTTCCTGACAGACCTCACTGTGCAGACGGTGCCACATATAAAAAGCTGACCCTTTCGTTTAAGAACCCAAGTTCAAAGACACAGATTAGAATCCTACCGATGGCTGGTTGTGACCCTGAGTGGCCACGCACAGAGATTCAGGTATGTCTGGTGAGCTTTATGTTGGGATCTTTTGTACATCAAGAGCTGTTTCTCTGAACTTAATCAACACGTTCTTTGGGTACAGCTTAGTAGCACAATCTTTGCCTTGCCTGTGCAAGGCCTTGGGTGTGATTCGTGGGTACGTACCACAGGGAGGAAAAGGATGACAGGAAGGCCAGAGAGCCTTTCTGACTTGATTGACACTGGCTCTGGCTCGGCTCTTTTAACTCCGAAGCGTGGCATGCCTGGCAGAGTCTCCTCAGCCTGTTGTCAGAAGCCGGGTATATTAGTTGCACTGAAGGCCATGGTAGGAATGCCTGAGAAGCCTGGGAGCTTGGTGGAGCCTCAGAGGTCAGGTTTAGTGATGAGCACGGCCCGCTTCCACTGTCGCAGAGGGTCATTGGAGAAGGGGTTTCTCAGGCTGGCCACTTCTGAGCTGTGAGTGGCAGCAGTGGGGGATGTCCACGGCTCTTGGGGGCAAGCACGCCAGTTCTGATCGGGACGGTGCTAGGGGCCTTTCCTGCATTCTCATTCATGTGTTGCCTTTACCCCACCGGACCGTCTCCTCTGTGGGGTTACAGCAGTTCGGGGCAGCAGACTGCTTTAAAAATGGGTTCGAGGGGCTGGAGAGATGGCTCAGTGGTTAAGAGCATTGCCTGCTCTTCCAGAGGTCCTGAGTTCAATTCCCAGCAACCGCATGGTGGCTCACAACCATCTGTAATGAGGTCTGGTGCCCTCTTCTGGCCTGCAGGTATACAGACAGACATAACATTGTATGCATAATAAATAAATAACTAAATAAATATTAAAAAAAAATAAAAATGGGTTCGAATGGACACAGAGTAGCTCCATTTTTCCCTCTCCCCCCTCCCCATTTCTTTTCTGTTGGAGAAACTTCCACCGTATTGCATGGGCTGGTCTTGGACTCCTGGTTTAAGATGTCTTCCTGCCTCAGTTTCCACTGCAGGTGCATGATACCACATCTTGCCAAAAGTAGATTTTTTTTTAAGTTGAAACTTTGCATTTATATGTAGAAAAAAGAACGCCGAAGGCGACGGAACTTGCGTTCTAAGGGGAAGGATGAGCTGCATTCTAGTCCCACCATCCAGCAGCCTGACGGTGAGGACAAGGAAGAGGAGGAAGAAGAGGACACGACATCCAGACTAGAGACCACTGAAAACCATTACCAGGAAGCAGTTCACAGTAAGTCAGTGTCAGAGCTCATTTCAGTAGGTGACGCTTAGTTGTGCTCTGGTGGGATCTTCATCTTGCTCAAATTATTCACTCAAGACTATAGAACACACTTCCCCCTCCGTTTTGCTTTGGTTAGGGCCACTTGCCCATAGAAAAGGTTAAGTGAAACCAAGACATCTCCAGACAGCACAATACCTGTTCTATACACGGGATGCGCCTGTGGAGGGGAATGTATATATTAGCACAGTTAAGAACTCACTATTGGGGGGCTAGAGGGATGGCTCAGCAGCTTGTAATTTAAAACAAAGCAGCGTGTGAGAGAAAGATGCCATGCAACAGAACTCACATGGAGGGCTTTTTATTGGGGGAAAGTAAATTGGAAAAGGGGGAAGGAACGAGGGGAGACTAGTCTCTGGGGACAGGAACAGCAGAAGAGGAGAGTAGAGGAGAGGAGAGGAGAGGAGAGGGGAGGGGAGGGGAGGGGAGGAGAGGAGAGAAGAGAAGAGAAGAGGAGTCGTCACTCAAGGAGCTGGTGGGGGTGGGGAGTTGGGCAAAGCCCGAAGGGTCCAAGAAAGGCACAGGCCACCCAGTGAGTCATCACACAGAAGGTGGGGGCCGAGGGCTCTGAGCCCGACAGAGCTGTGATTGGCTAGAACCAGGACTTAACAAAGCCAAAAGGCAAAAACCACGCTAGAAAAAGTCCTCACTGAGAAAGAGCCAGAGGTGGGGAAAAGGGAGGGGCTCACCAGTTGTGCTGGCTTTGGATGGAGGGACCCAGCAAGATCCAGAGAAGTGAGGCTATCATATGTGATCCTGGTTGAAGAGCCTGGCCAACAAGCCGAGTCTGAGGCAGGCAGGCCCATGGGGACTGCAGGAGGCAGTGTATGGCAGACACACCAACAGGATCCTTGCACCCTGGGTGAGAGGACAGGAGCTGATGTAGCAGTCAAGACAGTGCTGCCCTTCACCCAAAGCAGCAAGTACCTAATCGTAGGGAACAAACACTGATGGTGGCATCACATTTCTTGCACGGATGGTACCAGGTCTGTGCAAAAAGCTCCACAGCCATTTTAACGGTTGTGTTCATCTATAGTGTGCTGGAAAATGGCAGAGAAGGCAGGCAAGGGGAAATCATGGTGGTTATAACTTAAGATGGCCACAGCCAGGTAAAAGAAGGGTCCCTCCAAAGATAATTCCCCTTCCTAAAATAATCCCTTTCCTTGCAGAGGAACAAGTCCTGTCTTCCTTGGATGGCGACGATGAAGGATCTGGAGACGACAAGGCTAGAAGAGTTCTTAAAGCCAAGACACTCACGAGTGACAAGGGTAAGCTACATTTATTCAGCTCCAGGGTGACCTTGTATCCAGAGGCAGCTCACAGAGCAGGAACACAGCTGCACAATCTACTGACGCCCGGCGACACAAATGTAGTAATAGGAGCAGAGACTCTGCTGTCTTGGGAGGCCACACACACTCCAGAAAAATGGAGACATTTGCAAAATCCCAGACAGGCCAGGGCGAGGCATTTCAGCTACACAGTGAGTATCAGGCAGGACCGGGCAGGACTCAGGGAGGCATCTAGGCTCCTCTAGGGAACAGCAAATGCTCTGTGTGGATAACCAGTGCCTGCCGTTTGGATAGAGCAGCAATGGAGGCGTCTCCAGTCTGTGCCGTTTCCCACCGAGTCTTGGCTTCCCCTTTCTCTTGTAGGATCACAGACACTGACAGTCATAGTTACATGATGGGCCCTGTGCTGTTGCTGCTGGGACATACCAAGTCAGTGTCTTCCATACCTTGCTCTGGGTTCCACAGGCAGGGATAAGTATCGCAGCTGCATTAATGTTTAAATAGTGGCTACTTGTTAATTCATGTTTACATGTGTATACAGATGTAAAACTTTCTAAAGAAAACCATAAAAACATACCTTAGCATTCTTCAAATTGTTTTTAAATTCTTTTGAGTGTACATCACATTTTTTTTGCAGTGCCTCTGGAGGCCAGAAGATGGCGATGGAACCCCTTCACCCCTCAACTAGAGTTACAGATGCTTTTGAGCTGCCATGTGGGTGCTGGGAACTGAACCTGAGTTCTCTGCAAGATCCATCTCTCCAGGCTCTAAAATCAGACATTAAAATACTTAATTTTACAGAAGTACTGAAACAAAATAATGTATTTCAAGTAGTGTGATAGAAATACCATACTGAATGAAAAGTGTACCTCCCACCCTGACGGGCACCTAGGGAAATCCAAGTCCCAGGAGCTTAGCAGCCCAGAGATGGTGCTGTGTAAACATGGGTCTCTGGGGCAGATTTCTCCTGTCAGTTCAGAACTAGTTTGGACAAGGCTCCCAGAAATGCCCTATATGAATTTTATAACCCATTTTTCATATCTCTTCAGGAGATGAACCCTCCAGTAAGAGGCCAAGGGGAGAAGAGGAAGACTGAAGCATGAAGTGAAATGTGTGCTGGTGTCTATCAAAATTTCCTCAGTTTTCTGTTTGTGCTGGGATTGAATTCAGGGTTTCCTGTCTGCTGAACATGAGTCTACTGCTTAGGTCCTCCCTAAACCCCTCAAATACATTAAAGCAAGGATGATTATTTTGACTCACATAAACCAATGACATGGGCCACGCAGAAACCATTTTCCTTCCATGTATGCGTGTGTATGTATATGTGTATACACACACATATACATACATACATATACATTTTTTTTTAATTTAAGATCTCACCATGTAGCCCTGACTGGCCTGGAACTTGCTATGCAGACTAGACTGGCATGGACCACGGAACACACAAAGATCTGCCTGTCTCTGCCTCCTGAGGGCTGAGATTAAATGTATGTGCCACTATGCCTGGCCCCCTTTATACTTTTATAGCTGTGTTGTGGCTGTATAGTAAAAACATTTCAGTTAGCATTAGCTCCAGAAAGAACATTTAGACTCATTGAGAATACTCAGAAGTCCTTAGCTTCAGTTCCAGGTTCAGGGAGCCTGTGGGTCATGACTTCTTTGGGGTTGAACAACTCTTTCACAGGGGTCACATAGCAGGTAACCTGCTTATCAGATATTTACATTATGATTCAGAACAGCAGCAAAATTATAGTCATGAAGTAGCAATGAAAACAGTTTTATGGTTGGGAGTCACATGAGGAACTGTGTTAAAGGGTCACAGCATTAGGAAGGTTGAGAACCACTGCTTTACATGGTGCTGACTTGGATGGAGCCTCTGATATGTCCACGAACTTGTAGGCCAACACCACACACCATGCAGGAAAGCTTAACATCTGAAGGGCAACACTGTTTGGCAATTTTGTATTGCATGTGTTTGGCCACACAGACGGTTTGCTGGTCCCAGCTCAGCATCTGTAGCTGGGGTGCTTCAGAGAACACACATGGGCACTGTTCAGACCCAGCCTGTAGCACCCTCATCCTCTCCTACTTAGGAGAGCTCCCTGACTCACCATCCTCAGAAGGCCAAAGAGCATGGCTACTTTTACTCATAAAACGGTGATTTTGGTCAGCTTCATGCCTAATTATAGCACTTGAGAGACTGAGGCAGGAGGACTGCTGTAAGTCTAAGGCCAGCCTTGTCTCCAACAAACAAAAAAAAATCACTTCATATGGTTCCGTTAAATATCAACACTCATTCTTGTCTCTCCATAACTAAGCCGACACATACAGCAGACAGATTTTACAGTTAGGCAAAGGACACTGGGTACCAGTCACCCTCCCACCCCATCCCCACAGTCAGTGGAATGTATTATGGCAGACACAGCTGAGCACTGATGCAAAGATGGCCAACTGCTGACCATTTTGTACGGTTCTACAGGGAAACACATGGCAATGCAGGCTACAGACTGGTTGGCTCCCACAGGCTTCATCCCTCATACCCCTAGCATCAAGGCTCAGTCCTCGTGAGAGCTTGTAGACAGCTAGCTCCTTCCTGATGGTCCTCACATGGTAGTGAGTCTTCTATCTCTTCTTAAACAGCCACTAGTCCAGGATGAGAGTCCCACTTTGGGGACCTTATATACCCTTATTGCCTTCCAAAGGGCCATCTCCCAAGACCCACCCCTACTGCATGGTAGGACTTCAGTACAGGAATTTGAGGAGGATAAAAATAGTCTGTAATAGGCAGGAAAGAGTAGCTTGGGAATTAATAAGCTTTATATCTTAAAAGGGTTTATTAATCAGATTATCATACAAAGCAGTGGGCCTCAGTGGCATCTTTGTACGTAAAGTCCGAATACAGGATGAACTTTAATAAAGTTATTTGTTTTAGTATACCGTATGTTTTGTATAAACTGGGTGGATAATACTTGTGAAATGTCAGAAAGTTCATTGCTTTCCTACTTACAAAGCATTTAGTGTTTGGTATGTTAGTGTTAGAAAAACCTTACTTAATGCCCCATTTCAAAGAACGAGAAACATTTACTGCCATAAAGGCCTATTCAGGCTTCAAACAAAAACAAACCAAATGTGGTGTATCTACATGACTAGAACAGAAATAAAGTGGGGGTGTGGATTCACAAGGGCTTTGTGTGTGTGTGTGTGTGCATACTTTCTCTGCCTTCCAAAGGCCCATCTTCAGCATGAGGACTGGGGAGGATACAAAGATGGAGTTCCTAACAGATAGGAATCAGTAAACTTGCTTTTTTTTTTTTTTTTTTTTTAGGCTTTAGGTTAGCAGGACTCTACTGCCTCAGGCTCTGTGCTAGGGTTCTACCCCAGCCTGGGAAACACTGTAAACAGCAATTCCTAGGCACAGAAATCTAAAATCTTGGGACTACTAATTAAATGTATTGCTCAGCTGTGCAAAGCCATGCATGTCTGTAGTCCCAGCTACTCAGGAGGCGGAGGCTGAGCTCATTGAGCTCCCGGTCTGGAGGCCAGCCTAGGCAGTGAGAACCTGCCCTAAAAACTAAACAAAAACCAAGAGAAACCTCACCGTCATATTCTTTTTAAGCAGAGATGAAATAAACTGTTAAGAATTGCTACACACACCAATTGAGAAACACCTAGAGGGAACTTGCTGCTTCTTGTTCTGCCACAGACATCACAGACGTTCAGTTAGGAGGCCATTTGCAAACCAGATCTCAATCTGCTGGCACTCAGGCCTTGGCTTTTTAGCTTCAGAACTTGAAATTTCACACTGCTTCAAGAATAGTATTTACTAGCCATGAGAGAAGGAAAACAATGATTCTTGCTGAGGGGAAAGAGAAACCTGTCTCCTGATGCTTCAGTCTGCCTCCAAGGCAGTGCCTGGAACATTGCACCCTCAAGAGCACAGGACTGCAGTGTCCTCATGTGGCAACCGGTGAAAGGCTAAATGTACACCCCAATATCAGGCCCTTTAAAAAGGCACATTGCTGGATAACTGGGGAGGAAGGGGGGTGTCTATAGTGCCCAGCCAAACTTAGACATTCAAAGATACACAATAACGAAGGGTCCTGTTCTCGGTGACGTCAGTTTGCTGTCACCTTTAATCACTGGAGAAGACAGTCTTGAGGGCTACAGTTTTCCCCAAATCCCATCTGGAGAAACCAGGCTCTTGGCAGGTGGAGCAGCTCTGCCTTCTACCAGGATACTTCTGTTGTGTGCCGAGGACAGAAGACAGGCTCTGGGCTGCAACTTGACTTTGGTGGCAGGGGAGCTGTGTTCTCTGAGATGGAGATGGCTGTTGGATGATGTGGTGCTTTGAGTAGCAATGACCCCGTAAGTTCGTATATTTGAATGCTTGGCCACTAGGGAGTGGACCTTGTTAAAGGAAGTGTCATTGGGGTGTGCTCTGAGGTTTCAGAAGCTCAAGGCTCAGTGTCTCTCTCTTCCTGCTGTCTGGCAATAGAATAGATATAGAACACTCAGCTCCTTCTCCAGCACCATGCCTGCTGGCATGCACCATGCTTTGCTCCATGATAATGAACTAAACCTCTGAACTAAGCCAGCCCCAATTAAAAGCTGTCCCTTATAAGAGTTTCTGACGCTGGGCTGTGCTTTATTCTGAGCACTTGGGTGGCAGAGACAGGCGGATCTCTGTGAGTTTGAGGCCACCCTGTTCTACAAGACCTAGTTCCAGGACAGGCTCCCAAGCTACACAGAGAAACTCTGTCTCAAAAATCCAAAAAAGAAAACAAAATCATCGTGACCTAGAAGCCCTAACTAAGACAGATGAATACTGCAGGAAGTAAACTCAAGCACGGATCTCATTTGTGGAACACCAGCGAAGATACAGTGAGTATGGTGAGCAGATCCAGTGAACAAATGCATGCCAGTCTGTCTCAGCAGCCAGCAGTGCTGCATCAGATCTGCGGACGGAGAAGCAAACAGCAGGCACTAGAGAGTGCAGGCTGGAGGCTGAGGAGCAGGAAGTGACTGGCTCTGACTCTGGCATTGGCATTTGGGGCTGGCGATCTTCAGGACAACTCAGGCATTCTGTAAGTGCACAGAGTGGCTCAACCACACAACCAGCTGCTTTGATACTACACGGCCTCAATTGTATTTTCTTAGTAACCGAAGTTGAGATAGCTGAATTATTAGGAGTTGGATAGGAACTCTGCACTGGGAGTTCTTTTCATTTTGTTTATTCAGTTGAAAGCATATATAGTATAGCTTCTGCAATGAAAACAAGGAGAAAGGAAGAAAACTCTTAGATATTGTGTCCTTGGTGCCCTTGTGAAAATTGTAATTGGGCTTTCTGGATTACAGGTTGTAAACATACAAACCTAGCTTTAAAAACCGTGGGGCCAGCGAGCTGCTTTGGAGGGTAAAGGTGCTAGTTTTGCTTTCCAGGAGGAGAGGACAGACTTCATAGGTTGTCCCCTAACCTCCACGTGTGCCATGGCATGTGTACACATGTGTCTGCGCACACACACATTTTTAAAAAGAAGTACCGAGAATTCATTCTTAAGCTTATCTGGATATATAAATTACAGTATCTGAAAGTTTTTTATGGGATTTTCTCTGTATCAAAGCACCGACAATGTAGAAAAAGGAATGGCACCTCTAAGGGTGAGGGTGCCCTAAAGGTGTGAACTTGCATGGGTTAGCGACAGAACGACAGAGCAAGTGTGTTTAGTGCTGCAGTCTATTTTTGCCTGGCCTTTGAAACGGGTATCCCAGGTCCAACTCTACCCGTTAGCTAAGGCTTTCTAAAATACACGACAAAGCAAAAACATAAAAGTAATACGTGGCAATGATTAATGTAGTTTACTCAGAAGTGTCTTTGTTTCTAGCTGATATCAAGGTTAGCCCTTCTAAATGATAGACTGAAAAGTGAAATTGAAATGAAATGTTATATTTACTATAAAATCTGCATATTTTTATTTTCTGTGTGTGTGTGCCTGCTTGTCTGTATGTGTACCACATGTGTGCAGGGGCCCACAGAAGCCAAAAGAGGGTATAATCTCTGGAACTGGAGTGACAGGAGATTGTGAGCTGCCTGATGTGGGTGCTGGGACCTGAACCTGGGACCTCTGAAAGAGCAGCCAATGCTCTTAATGACTGAGCCATCTCTCCAGCCCCTATGTTTAATTTTTATAAGGAAAGATTAATGGAATCAGGTTACAGTGCAGAAAAGTCAACAGGACATGAAGTTCCTGTTTCTCAGTTCGGTAGCAGCTCTAAGTATGGAGAGAGGATGAGCTAGAAATGTAGTGATCTGTGAGAAGCGATGGAGAAGACAGGCCAGCAGACAGATGCTCAGCCCCAGAGCTCACACCTGTGCCCGGCAGCATCAGCAGCAGTTGTCTCAAATGCTCACAGCTTCACTTCTCTTGGGTGGCATGTCTTCAGTTGATGCTGTTCAGAGCGGAGCAGGGCTGGAGGACACAGCCAGATACGGCTTCAGGGCGGCAGTGGCTGTGACTGCAGCTGAACCGTATTCAGCTGCTGGGTAATAGTGGGAAGAGTGGCTCCTGACTTTGTACAGAAAAACTGAAACAGCCCTGGGAACCACAGGTTTTATGCTTAATAATATCTTTTAGTGGCAATAAGGGTTAAACATAAGGTATATACAACTAATACTTTAGTAAGACAGTTTCTTTTATAATTTTATTATATCACCTTTAAAGGAAAATACATGAAGGGATCATCAGTTGGAAACAATTTTTAAGGTTCTATTTACAACACCTCTTCTTCAGGAGTGTGCCCCTTGTATAAGTGTGTGGCTAATGTGACCAGGGATAATATGTAACTTAATGACCACGACATTCTCCTTGGAATCACCAACATCTGCTTATATGTTCAATACAAAATGTTTATTTGGTCTTTGAAATGACAGGCACCTTTAGAAAATGTATTTTACTTATTTTTTAAACTCCAGTAGGTTTCAGCTATAATAAGTGTATAGCACCAAAATCTACGTTCAAGGTATTAATATTACTACATTGAATTTAATGTATACACTTTGATGTAGACATAATGAAAATTGTAACAATACAAAAACGAATACATAGTTTTATGAAATGGGCAATTTAAAGCTTTTTAAAAGAGCAATTTAAAAACATGAATGTTATTCTTAGATAACCATTTAACTTGACATAAAACTCAAGGGCTTAGAAAATCTCTGGCTTAAAATTAAAATTGTTGCAAAGTCCTAATTTATTACTATGTCATAAAAATCTCAGAGGAATTTAAAAATACTGAGTTACTAAAAAGTCAAGAGGTGCCAGACTTTTAAAGATCAAGGTAAACACTGTTTTCCATTAGAAATTTTTTTTTCTTTCAAGACAGGGTTTCTTTGTGTAACAGTTCTGGCTGTCCTGGAACTGGCAGAGATCCACCTGCATTTTCCTCCCGAGTGCTGGGATTAAAGGCGTGCGTCACCATGCCTGGCCTCCATTCTTTTTTTTTTTTTTTTAAAATTTTCGAGACAGGGTTTCTCTGTGGTTTTCGAGCCTGTCCTAGAACTAGCTCTTGTAGACCAGGCTGGCCTCGAACTCACAGAGATCTGCTTGCCTCTGCCTCCCGAGTGCTGGGATTAAAGGCGTGTGCCACCACTGCCCAGCTTTCCATTATAATTCTTAAGACATATCTATTTAATCAAATGAGTTCAGACTTAAGTTACTTATAAAGAAGTATTTTCTTCAGTTATAGAACGTACTATAGAACAGAACTGGAATGGTATAAGCAAAGTAAACTGATTCATACTGGACCTTTCCTCTGTTGCCTGTGGCCTTGAACGCCTCTGCTACTCCCTCTGTAGGAGCTGCTCTGGGACAGGGCATCAGTGTGCAGCCTTGCCAACCCCAGTCTGCAGTGTGCTCTCAAGTCCTCACTCTATGCCTGGGTGATAAATATAATCTATGCTATAGGAATTTTTTTTAACCATATGGATTTTTTTTTTATTATGTATATAGTGTTCTTGGCACCAGATCTAATTATAGATGGGTGTGAGCCATCATGTGGTTGCTGGGAATTGAACTCAGGACCTTCAGAACAACAGTCAGTTCTTTTAACCTCTGAGCCATCTCTCCAGCCCAACCATATGGATTTTTAAAAGTACAAGATGAAAGGAAGCATCTGCTAAAGTTGGGTTTCTGAAGAATGGCAGTTTTTGCGATTGGCTGGAACACTGTGGAGTGGGGATTAACTCTATGCATGCAATGCTGCATTGCACCTACGCAATCATGTATAGAACGTTTTACCACACAGTACAGGTTTTTCTTTTCTTGACCTGGGTTCTCACATCTGTAGTCCAAGCTAACCTGGAATTTCCTATGTAGTCCAGGCTGGCTTTGAACATCTGGAACTATTCCTTTCTCAGCTTCCAGAGTGCTAGGATTATAGGAGCGAGTCACCATAGTTAGCTCATGTCTTTGTTTTACTTTCTAACTGACAGTGCTCAGCAGCTTTAATGGCCATGTTGCGAGCGTCTTGGGCTTGAAGTCCCTCCTATATCTAACAGCACCTTTCTTTTTTCTTTTACTCTAAGTAACTGAGCATTGCCCAAGAGCCTTTTATGGGGAAGAAAATAACCGCTCTACTTTGATGCTCTTTAACCATTAGCTTTTCCAAAAATTTAATGCCCACAAGATGAAATACTGTAGTAATCTTAGATATAACTATACTTCTAAACAAGGCAGGCAGTGGGGCAGTATTACAGAGTATTAACAAACAGACAGACAAACAAACAAAAACCCCAGTGTAGCTGAGGCTCAGTGGACAAGACCAGAAGCCTGCAACACAGTGGCCCATTCTGTCTCCCAGAGGAGGACCGGTCTGTCTCCTGGAGGCTTGCGCTGGCTTATGGAGATAAATCAGATGCTGAGCCATCTTTTAAAATTCTGAAAATTTATTTCCCTAATAAGGAAAAAGCAAACTCTTGCCAAATTCATGGATTTTTTAAAAAACTGCCATGTGCCCTACCCTTTTTGTGTAAGGAGCAACACTGAGTCAGCAATGTCCCTTTTTGATTTAAAAAGATTGGTCCTCAAGGTGTTCAAAATTATTCTTATATACATGACTTCTAAATTTTTATCTAAAAATTATAAGCCATTCAATTAAGCTAAATTAAAATGATTTCAGTAGAAAGGCTACAAATATAATTCTACCCATCACTGATTTTACAAATCAAATATAATACCTTAAGGTAGGAAAATAATGCATATAGTTAAAAAAAAAAAGATTTCCAGTCTTTTCCCTTCTACCCAGGAAGTTTTTACATCTGCTGACCCAACAGGAGCCTCTGCTGATCTGCAGGCTTCCAAGGTTACCCTCAGCATTCTTACTGGTGGTCTCCTTCAATTCGCCTCTTGCGCACTGTGGGGAAAAAAAAGCCTGTTATAAATCCCTGTGCGTTTACAAAATGCTAACTTGCTTGCAACAAGTTTCTCCATAGCAGTTAATGTCTCATAAACATGAATTGAGTACTTCTGACTCATATGACCATTAACAAAGAAGGCTCGGCCATCTGCCACTGTCATTTGCTTGATGAAAATCATCTAAACAAGAGCTACGTGTCTTAGGATGTAGGTGCTTACGTAACAGCAGAGTAGGACCTAAAACACAGTATTCAGTACAGTAGTCAGTGAGTGTTCAGCACTCAAGTTTCAAGTCATTTGATTCTAGAAAAAAAAAAGGATGTCTACGTTTAGAGAAATGATCTGTTAATACAGTAACATTTACAATGACATTGGCAAGCTGTGGTTAAGAAGTTATATTAGGGGCCTGGAGAAATGGCTAAATGCTTTTCCAGAGGCCTAGGTTCGATTCCCAACACCCACATGGCAATTCACAACTGTCTGTAACTCCAGCTCCAGAGGATCTGACCTCTACTTCTAGCCTCCACTAGGTACTGAGCACACACATGGTACAAAGACATACATGTAGGCAAAACACCAATACACAAAATAAAATCTAAAAAGTTTTATTAAAAGTATTTTGAATGTTCCCCTGATTAGATACAATATATTTCCTTACACTGAAGGAATCTAGAAATACTTTCATCATTTCTTTCTTTCTTTCTTTTTTTTTTTTTTTTTTCGAGACAGGGTTTCTCTGTGGTTTTCGAGCCTGTCCTGGAACTAGCTCTTGTAGACCAGGCTGGTCTCGAACTCACAGAGATCTGCCTGCCTCTGCCTCCCGAGTGCTGGGATTAAAGGCGTGTGCCACCACTGCCCAGCCACTTTCATCATTTCTAAAGGTACTAACTGACAACTTTTTCCAAATTTTCCTTCTCTTTATAAATTTCCCTCTGGGCACTATAGATGCTGACTTCAGAAAGTGGCCAACTAGCCAGTTCAGATGATGGAGCAAACAAGATCCATATGCCTGACAATGCTCAGTCTTTTCATGGACTGCTGACATGAAATCATTCTGAGCTCACTAGTACAAGTAAGGGCTTCAGCTATTTTGTTCTTTTGACTATCAGTCACCCAGGGCTTTACCAAGAGCCACCATGTCAGTATTCGACACTATGGCTGACCACTATTCCAAAGGACAGAGTAGCAGGTTGCAGCGTTGGCAAGGGGACATCAGCACAGCTCTGCCACTCCTGGGGAGTGTGTGCTGTGGCGCCCAGCTTCTCTGAGTGTCAGCTTTCCTCTGTAACAGGAGAATAATGGTATTTCACGTGATAGCCATGTGACAAGGTGCTGCACAGAACAGTGTTGAGGACATGGCAAGTGCTTGGTGCTCCCCTCTGTCTGCCACTGCAAGAATACATGCTGAGACATGGTCAGCCATCCTTCTAGTGCGGAAAAGCCAACCTGTTACCATGAGGCTCTGTACTCCTGTGCTACTGGTTTTGCTACTTTGCACTCAGACTCTGATTATTGATTCCCACTTCCCCCCTGGAAGCCAGTCACAAGGCACTGCCTCTTTTCAGTCTGAATCAGACTGCCAGAGGAGCTAGTCAAGAGGGAATAATGGCTGTTCCCATGCTATTCTGACTACTGGCTGCTGGGACCAGACATATACTGGAGTGTATAAGGACTGTCCAGTAATTGGTTGAGTAGAGTCAGAAAATCAAAGCCAAGGCTACATTCTCCATGAACTATACTTACCTACTCACTTTTTCCTGACTGATCTAACCTATAGTAATAAGGAACAAGCTTCAAGTGTCTACTGAAAAATAAAGGGAGGAAAAAGCCAAGGAGACCATAAATAAATACAAATATATGCCAAAAAAGGAAACAGCAAGCAATTCTTAGAGTAGAGTTTGGCTGGTTTTGGCAAACCATTTCAGATGTTAAAATGCATGCTAAAAAATGTTAAAGGTGTTACAGACAGGGTCTACAGGACAGAGCACAGCAAACAAAACGCCATAGAAAGCTGCTTATGCAGTTAGCTAGTGCAGAGATATCAGCTCAGTGCGGACGTGACTGCTACATGTGTACCATACAACCTCTTCTGTTAGAGCTGGGACACTTCTTTCTTAGCTGGAGAGATGACGAGTAGGCAGAAGTATTTCAGTGGACAGCCGAGAGTAAGAAGACAACGAGAAGGTATTATAAAAACGGGACAGAGATCGGATATAGCCCCGTCTGCAAGCTGAATGCGAGTTATCTGCCCAGTAGACTGTGTCAGGTCAGGCCGCCAGGATCCCTGTGTCGGGCAGAGAGCACAGTGCACTGAGAGAAAATGAAGCAAGGAGCAGATCTGAGGATCTGCTGTGTGCACGACAAGGCAGAGAGCAAAGGACGGAGTGCCGGTTTGTCACCTGGTGTCCCCATTATCTATCTGGTCCAATTTTTGTTAATAAGTCTTAACTAACCTCACTCTCAGTCTCTAAAACAATGTTTTCTTTTAAAGTGTTGTGTTAATCATATAGCTATACGAGCTCCCAAATGCCTCCAACATAAACAGCCCCTTCCAGGAATGTCCTTTTGTCACTTTACATGTGTGACCCGTGTCTGTAACTCTAGTTTGCATCAGAATGGGACAGCATGAGGGCAGTCTAGGGAATTCCTAGCAGAAGTGTGGGCTTCTCAATTCTGCTTTGTGAAAGACTGCACCTTCTTCCAAATGGCCTCTTTATCCCCACAGTACACTGCTGTGGCCAGCCACTCAGCTGTCAGCTGGAGTCCACATAAGGTAGCGCAGGACACCCGTATCTGCCCACTCATCCACATGCTCTCTAACACTCTTCTCTGTAGGCCTGGGCACAGCATCTGTCACAGCTGGCGTGACAAGAACATAACTCCAGGGACCTAATGAAAAGGGACTTCCCTACTATTATGTTTATGGGCTGCAATCACACAATTCCTGTGGGCGTCATCTATCCATGGCAGAGATTACTGGGGTAATATATATTGGTGGCATTTTGGGATTTAAGGTAGTTTCAGGAGAGGAAAATGGAAGATTTGTCTGGTTTAGTTTAAGATGATACAGTTACCAGAAAACTATAACTGAATAAAGATAAATTTACAGCCTTATTCCCCCCCTCCTCTTTTTGGTTTTGTTAGAGACCAAACCTAGGACCTTGAACATGCTAGGCAAGCCCTCTATCCCTGAGTTGTATCCCAGTCCCTAAATACTTTTTTACAAAAGTATGGGTTAGACATGATTTTTGAACATAACTCCTGCCAGCAACATGTCTCTGTGCTAAAAAACTTGTAATGTTTGAAAACAGACTATTTTGTTTTCAAATGTTTATTTACTATGCTTGTGTATTATGTGTGCATGCATGTGTGCATATGTGCTATGGTGTGTGTGTGTGTGTGTGTGGTCAGAAAACAACTGTGTGACACGGGTCTCCTTTTCCTTTGTCACATAGGTTCTAGGGATCAAACCCAGGTTGTTAAGCTTCAGAGGCAACCACTTTACCCAGTAAGCCATCTTGTCTGCCTACCACGCTGCCTCATGCCTATAATCCAAAACACTCCACAGGTGGAGGCAGCAGTAGGATCACTAGGAGTCTGAGGCCAGCCTGAGCTATAATGGCAAGACCTTGCTCAGAAAAATAAAATTATCTGGAGACAGACACTTTAAATGAACTACAACTTGTTGTTTGTTTGTTTGTTTGTTTGTTTGTTTATTACTCTTTTGGCTCTTTTGGGGACCCATCACCCAGCTCCCAAATAAACCACGGACATGGAGTCTTATTCTTTCTTATGAATGCCTGCCCTCACGCTGGCTTGTTTCTAGCCAGCTTTTCTTAACTTAAATCATCCCATCTACCTTTGCCTCTAGGCTTTTCCTTTTCTTCTGTACATCTTTCACTCTTACTCTGTGGCTGGCTGGCCCCTGGTGTCCTCCTCTCCCTGTTCTCTCTTGCTCCCTTTCTCTTCCAGAGTTCTCCTATTTATACTCTCTGCCTGCCAGTCCCGCCTATCCTTTCTCCTGCCTTCTTATTGGTCACTCAGTTCTTTATTAGGACTGTCTGGGGTTTTAGACAGGCAAAGAATCACAGCTTCACAGAGTTAAACAAATGCAGCATAACAGAAGTCACACATCTTACCATAATATTCCCCAACAATTTTCAAAGTGTGACAAATGTTAAGTAGAAAATGCATATGGCACATGTGTTCATGATATGCATTAATTAATGCCAGACTCAGAAACTGAAATGTCTCCCGATAACCAAACTAGGATTTCAGTGAGCACAAGCTGCCTACAGCAGGACTAGACACTTTGTGAGGGTCCCAGCGCCAAGTTTACCCTGTCCTAAATCTGACTCTCTAGAGGAGGGAAGCCAATAATCCAGGTTTGAAAGTTATCTAGCTATTAACAAAGTCAGTCCAGACTTAGAAACACTTCTCTCAGCAGCAAAGTCAAAACACTTGGAGGAGAATAAATGATGGGAACCAACACTAGGACAATTGACTGAAATCTACATCTAGAACCAAGAGTACACAAAACACTATTTTCTCTTTTGAAAAGCAAGTGGCTAAAATATCCTGTGGGCAGCTGTCACAAAGGGAATTAAACAGCACTGCTCATGTAGCTAGAGTAAAGGAAATCTGGATGAAGCTTAAAAGAAGTAGTTGCTCAGAAATGTCCCCGCTGTTGAGAGGACTTATTTTTACTTCTTGCCTATACAATGAATCTTGTAAAACAGTTTAGCGTAGATAACTGAAAAAGAAGTCACTTTCTGGCAATTCAGAGAAACAAAATTACAAGCACAGTATTTATTAACTCATCCAGGACTAGAGAATCCATTTCCATCCGAGACCACGAGACTCAGCAGGAAAAGGAGCAGAGGAGAACGGATCACTGAGGCAGGCGAGTGCAGGAGGGCACTGCACGCATCAGAGAGGCTAGGGAGTCAAACTGTACTTATCCTGTATCTCATAATATAAAACTGAATTTCTGTCTAATTCTGCTTGATAAATAGGCAAAATACTTTCTGGTGGTGCCAAACTCTTTGTTTCAAAGCACAAGGAGTAACTGTCAACACGAACAAAACACCTGTCATGGTAAGTTTCACTAAAGCTATTACATGCTTATCACAGAAGTGGTAACAAACATGAAGACCACTACAACCTGCACAGCTCCAACTCACTGTGTAAAGGACTGAGCAGCACTGGATGCTAAGGACAGGTTATTTTTCTATGTTAATTTAGCTCTAAAAATAGCTTGGCGTTGTACTTCAGAAACTTGACTCAGAATTGCATACATCTTACCTAAGTCGTTGTTTTTCGTTATAGCATTGGCTGCCCTGGTTCGGGGTCCCTGCTGTGTAAACTGATACCCAAATTTAAGGATATTCGTATTTTCTTCAAGCATCTTAGCCATTTCTAATTCTACAGCTGTGCCCAACTGCTGTCTCTGGAAGGATCAAAAACAAAGAATAGCATTAATAAACCAGATTAAAAACATTTTTTACATAAATAAAATTTAAGAGTCCCATGCTGATTCTGATGATCTCTTAAGTTTTCACGCAATTTCTACAACATATATAAGAAAGACATCTTTAAAAATTCAACAGACACCAAAAGCTCTACAGAAATAAAAAAGTGCGGATACTGTGCCACCTCACACCCACAAGGATGGGTATGATGAAGAAGACAGAAAGGCCGAGGAAATCGCTCAGCTGGTGCTTGCCTAGCATCCATGAAGCTCTGGGTTCAATCCCCAGCACTGCATACACCTGTGACCCCAGTACTAGCAGCTGAATGCAGGCCTTTAAGGTCATCTTCTATCACAGAGGTTTGAGGTTAGCCTGGGCTACGTGAGACTATCTCAACCTTGGCTCCAACAAGATCAAACCAACAAACCACCCATCAAGAAGATGAACAAACAGCAGGCATGGTAGTGTGCACCTATATCCCAGGTCCTGGGCAGGTTGAGGAGGGAGAAATGCTTGATCTTAGATCATGAACAGTCTGGGCGACACAGTGAGACCCTTCTGTTTAAGTGGTTTTCAAGAGTGTAGCAAAGCGGGCTCTTGGTAATGGCTTGAAATTATCTTATTAGCCGGTGGTTCTACTGTAGGTATAGGCCCAAAGAAATAAACATGTATGTTCATAAAACACTTAGCTACAAATATTCACATTCATGTCTAAGAAACATTATTTTTCTTAAATTTTTTAAAATATCATGCACATGAGTTGTGTCTTTTTCTGGATGTAGGTATGTATGTGCACCATGTGCATGCCTGGTGCCAGGAAGACCAGAATTGGCACGAGATTCTCTGGAACTGGAGTTTGAGATGACTGTGAGCCACCATCTGGATGCTGGGAATTGGATTCAGGTCCTCTCCAAGAGCAACAAGGGCTCTTAACTGTTGAGCCATCTCTCTAGCACTGTAGCATTATTTTAATAGCTCAAAAGTAGAAACTCTAAAATGTGACAGAATATAATTTAGCCATGTACAGACTGGAGTTTTGACATGTACTGTGACATGGATGGACCCTCCAGGACTTTATGCTAGGTTACTGAGTTATATTTTTATTAAAAATTTGAGACAATGGATTAAGAAACATTTTGGTTTAATTTTCAGGTGTAACCAAATCTCTTTTCTATCTTACAGTCTACAAAATTTATTTATTGTGAAGGACTCAGGAAATCATTTGCCAAGTATCTTTTCAAATAACGAGTTTTGTGTGTATAGGCATTTGTGTGTATGGGCATGTGTTTGCCTGTGCATGTGTGTGGCGGCAGCCAGCAGTGGGCACTGTTTTTCTCTACCATTCTCTACCTTATTTTCTCACTGAGTTGGAAACTCATTGTTTTGGCTAGGCTGGCTGGTCAGTAAGCCTGTAGGATCTGCCTGGTTTTGCTTCTCGAAAGATGGGGTTGAAGATGTACACTGCCACACCCTGCTTCTTTGCGGGTGCTGGGGATCCAAACTCAGGTCCACAAGATGATGCAGCAGGCACTTCCCCATTGAGCCATCTCCTCAAACCTTATAGCTAATTTTCAAATAAAAAATTAACAGTTGCTCTGGGTGGAAATAATTCTAATATGTATATTTTCCCCGCTTACAAAGTTTGTCTGGGGGACTGGTGAGTGGTTTAGCAGCTAAGAAGACTTGCTATTCTTCCAGAGGACCCAGTTTCGGGGCCCAGCATCCATATCAGGTGGCTCACAACCATTTGTTACTCCAGCTCCAGGGAATCCAATACCTCTGGTCTCCACATGCAAACGTATGCATGTATGTGACCATAAAATATAAAAACATAAACGAAAGTGTGTCTAGGAATAGGTGGTCCCACACCCATGAAGGTATTAGCATTGTATTTGTCTGATGAAGATGGCGCCTTCACAGCAACCTGGGTACTGGGACGTTTCTCTTATTGGACCTGACACTGGCTGTTTTGACTATCAAGCTCCTGGGGCCTGCTTTTCGCTGACCCTCACAGCTGGAGGTGTTCCACACAGATGTGGCCAGTTATTTTTTTTTTTACAACATGTGCTGTAGACTGAACTCAGTTCCTCTTGAAATCACATCAAGTGCTTTTACCTACTGAGGCATCTCTTCTTCTTTCATGCAAACAACTCTATTCATATTTTCTGTATTTGGTACTGTAACACACTATAGACACAGGGCAACTGTGACTCTCTCAAAGAACAGGGGAAGAGTGGACTAAGTCATAAGTAAAAGACTTTCCAGTTCAAATCAGACACCTATTTAATTCCTTAAATTGACTTAAAGAGACTTGCTGTGTATTCGCCTGTTAAACATTAATATTCTGGATCCCCAAATGTCTCATCACCCCCTTTCTGCCACCATCTTTCCGAGAGGGTTACAGCCCTTCTTGTAAGTCCCCCTGGCAGTGGGGGCTGCAGTTTCCTCCGAATTGCTACTGTAGAACACCAACCTGATTGTCGATCTTGAGCTCTGTCAGGGTCTCATTGTCTCTTAAAGCATCAATCAGTGCTAAAACTCCAGTGCCTGTGATGAAGTTGGACTCCATATTTAAACTCTTCAAAGTTTTGTTCACTTTCAGCATGTCTGCAAATGCCTAGAGATTAAGAGGAAATATTTGGGATTAAAATCTGATAGCACCTATTTTTCACTGCACATGCCATAAGGAAATTCATAAACTGAACTTAAGTTTCTCGTTACATTTTTTAGCTTGTTACACTACCGTTCAGTCTCACATGTATTTACTTACCCCATGTACATTACCATATATAATTTTTTTAAAAAAGATTATTTATTTTAGCCAGGAGGTGGTGGCGCATGCCTTTAATCCCAGCTCTCGGGAGGCAGAGGCAGGCAAAGCTCTGTGAATTCGAGCCAGCCTGGTCTACAAGAGCTAGTTCTAGGAGAGGCTCCAAAAGTACAGAAAAACAAACAAACAAAAAGATTATTTATTTTATGTATGAGTGCTCTATCTTCATGTATGTTTCATGCCAGAAGAACAGGGAATCAGATCCCACTAGAGATGGTTGTGAACCACCATGTGGTTGCTGGGAATTGAACTCGGGACCTGTGGAAGAAAAGTCAGTGCTCTTAACCTCTGAGTCATCTCTCCAGCCCAACCATATACAATCTTAGGTAATTCCCTGGTGCTGACGTTCCTAACTCCTGTTTCAGGTTCATTCACTCTCTACGCCCCATCTCCTCTCACATGTCCTCTCAGCTTCTGTATGAACTAATGCATTAATATCTCTTCTGTATGGAACTAATGCATTAATATCTCTTCTGGTTTGAGAATGGGTATGAAAGAGGTGGCTCATGAAGAAGGCAACTGCAATACTCCAGAAAAGAGAAGACCACTTGGATCAGGGCGGGAGTAACAAAATGTGAGAAATGATTGAATTCTGAGATTATTTTCCTTTTCCTCTTTTTATGACAGACTCTCACACATCCCAAGATGGCCACAAACTCTTTATCGAGTTGAGGATGGCCTTGAACTTTTTTGTTTTTATGTTTTTTTTTTTCAGGACAGGGTTTCTCTGTGTAACAGCATTGACTGTTCTGGAACTCTTTGTAGACCAGGTTGGCCTCAAACTCACTGAGATCCGCCTGCCTCTGCCTCCAGAATGCTGGGATTAAAGGTATGTGCCATCACTGTCTGGCAGCCTTGAACTTCTGATCTTTCTGGCTCTACTTCCTGAATGCTGGGATTATAGGTATGTTCTAGAACATTCAGTCTGTGCAGTGTTGGTGATAAACCCAGGACTTTGTGCATGCTGAGTAAGCACTGTGCCAATCTCTAGCCCTCCTGGTCCCCCTTTGAGACAAGACAGGTTTCACAATGTTGCATTGTCTGGTCTGGAACTCACAGAGATTGGCTTGCTTCTACCTCCAGACTGCTGGAATTAAATGTGTGCACCATGGCATCAAGATCTAGCCCATTAAATAAATAAGACTGTGTCTACGTGTGCATTTACAATGTGTGTGGATGCATATGCACTATGGTGTGATGCAAAGGTCAGGAGACAGCTTTGTGGGGTCAGTTTTTTCTCTCTGCCTTTACATGGTTCTGGAGATTGAACTAGAGTTGTCAGGCCTGTGGAGCATGTGACTTGCTGATCTATCTCACCAGCCCATGTTCCCATGACCTGGAGCTTGCTATGTAAACCAGGGTGGACTCAAACTTATGGCGATCCTCCTGTCTCTGCCTCTTGAATATTAGGATTACCTGTGTGAGCCAGTACAACTATCCTAGACTCTAAAAATATTTTGAAGACAGGACTACTGAATATACGCTTTAAGGCTGAAAGAAAGGGAGGCTAAGAGTGACTGCTTGTCATCTGTTTCCTGTCTACTGGAGACATGACCGACACTGCCATTTAGTGAAAAGACTGAGAAAAGCAGGCATAGGATAGGGGTCAGGAGTTCAATCCAAGTCTCTATAGGAGAAATCCATTAAGTACCCAGGTACAGCTACTAAGTAGGTAGCACGGTGTCAGTGCAGAGTTAAGGACAAAGGTACAAAGGGGACGATGGCACTGGAGTCACCAGCAAGTGTAAGCGACCCACAGCACTGAAATGATGAGCTTGCCCAGGCAGTGAAGATGAGAAGAAGTCCCTGGACCACTCCAATGTTCAGAGGAAGGAAGAATGTGTGTGGAAACCAGGAACTAGTGAAGCTGGAGGAGAACCAAAAGGAGTGGTTGCTGCAAAGCCAAGTGAAGGAAAGGTTCTTAGGACAATCGATGTGACTTTCTCAAGGAATGCAAGACTGGTTCAACTCACGCATTCAGAATTGGTTTTAAAAGGACAAACACCACATACTCATCTCCAGAGGAAGCATTTGATTAAACCCAAAGCACAGACCCCTAAGTGGGACCCTGTACAGATGTTAAGGCTATAGCAGACCTCTGTATGCTGACACAAAGAGATCTCTAACATATATATTTAACTGAAAAATAAAAATCAAGTTAATTCTTTCTCTTTTTTTTTGTGGTCCTGGAAATTGAAGACAGGGACTTACATGCAACAGGCCAGTACTTTACCATATAGTCATATTTCCAGGCTCCCTTTATGCTTAGAGAAATGAGGAGGCCACGACAGTAAGATCATGATTTAATGCCAGCTTAGGTTATCCAGTGAGTTGCTATTTTGGGAATCTACCTCTTTCCAGTCCCCAAAGAGGAAAAAAATATATATAAATGATAAAAATTTAAAAATACAATAAAAATACAAAAGGGTATATAATGTAATGCCGAATAGTGAGGTAAAATGCCACACATACAAACACACACATCACAGTTTGGTCCAATGAGATAGCTCAGTGGGAGGGCACTGGCTATGAAGTCTGACAACTTGAATTCCATCCCTGGGACCCACAAGGAGAGAACAGATTCCTGCAAATTGTCCTCTGCCCTCCACAACATACTGTGATACATGTACACACATACATACACAAACATGTACATACCTAAATAACTAGATAAATAAATGTAAGAAGAACTCACAGTTTAAAAGGGTGCAGTGGTATAGGCCTATAATCCCAGCACTTGGAAAGTAGAGGTAGGAGAACTGGGGAGTTCAAGATCATCTCCCACTACACATGAAATTCATGGCCAGCCTGGGCTATGAGAGAGATCCTGTCTCACAAAACAGATTGATTTAACCTTACTATAATGCAGGTTTGCAGACATCAGTTGGGAATTATTGACTTCATCAATCTCAGCATACTTACAACAGCCACGGGGTCATTGCTCCTGGTAGCCGCAAGACTGAAATGTTTCACATGTGTGTTGGTTTCCAAAGTCTTTGCAAAATCTTTTAGAGTTGGAATTGGGATATTCTTGAAAGACAAAAATGTGAAACACCATCAACATTTCAGTTATCAGGAAGTTTAATCCATCAATCAAACACACTTACACTTACTGTTTGCTCTAAAACATGCTCAAAAAGTATGCAAACAAATAGCCTAGTCTACAAAGCAAGTTCTAGCATAGCCAGGACTATATAGAGAGACCCTATCTCAAAGCAAGCAAGCGAGCAAACAAACAAACAGCAATAATAATTTGAAAAAACAAAAAATAGATCCTAGAAAGCCAATTTCTAGGCACTGGTTATGAGAAACAAAAACCTGTAGTTTTCAAAGGCCTCACATGTAAATGTGTGCAGCCACTTTCCACATAATCGACCTGGAAGCAACCCATGTCAATAACTGACCGTGGTATATCCTATGAGAAAACAACCCACACCTACACAACATGGGTGAGTCTCACACGCATTGTCAAAAGGAAGACTCAAAATTCAAGGTGGATTCCATCTACAAGGCTGGAGAAAGCAAAATGAATAGCTCTAAGCGGCAAGAGTGGACAGAGGATAGCAAAGGGGCCTGACAAACTTCCAACATTACAGGTAGGCTTTATAACAGTTAGTCAGTCGGGTGCGTTTTTTTTTTTTTTTTTAGAACCTGACAGTAGTATTTTTTAGTTTTATATCCTGGGACTGCACATTAAAAGAATTTTACTTAACTATATTAAAAATACCTTAATAAACACCCAATTAAAATAAAAACCAAAGGCTAAAGTTCAAAAGAGGATAGCACTTTAAAAATTAGAGTAACTTATGGATAATGTGTAGGGTCATATTCTTATATGATAAACTCTTTAAAAAGTAAATAACAGCCGGGCGGTGGTGGCGCACGCCTTTAATCCCAGCACTCGGGAGGCAGAGGCAGGCGGATCTCTGTGAGTTCGAGGCCAGCCTGGGCTATAAGAGCTAGTTCCAGGACAGGCACCAAAAACTACAGAGAAACCCTGTCTCGAAAATCCAAAAAAAAAAAAAAAAAAAGTAAATAACAAAGTATTTTCTATAATACTTGAATGTATAAATTTTGAAGGAATCTATGTTCATATACTGTTAGTACACTTCACCTTAAAGCAGAAGTTACATGAAAATTGCCACATTACTGACGTGGGTTTGGTTGACCCAAAGCAAACATCATGTGTTGATTCTGATACATATGTACATTGCATGCTTAACATACTTACTTTAATATTATTCAAATTAACTTCAACAAGACGGGCATCATTTTCCTTAATTCTCTTTAAACTCTCTTCAACATTGGTTGGATTTGGTGGCTCATCAAACACTGGAAGAATCTTTTCCCCCTTTACCACATCTATAGGAACGAACGGAAGAGCAAGGGTTGACTGAGATGACTGGAACTGAGAGGAGACACATTTACTTGGTCATACATTCAACATATCCCCTAGGCCATACATTCAACACATCCAATCTGAAAGTCCCTTCTGCACAACTGCTAAAAGATCCCTTATACATTGGTAGCTACTCATGTCACCAAATAAAATGTTATTGAATAGATGACAAGGGAAGAGTAGGCTTGCTCCCAATTAAATTTAATAAGGCAGTGTCCTTTCATCTAGCAGGCCATGGGAGGTGAGCAGAGGACTTCATCAATGAATGAAAACTTGAGTGAGCTCTCAGTTTTATAAAACATAGACTAGGGATGAGTCCAGCATCTAGTAATAACATTGGGTGTTATGGAATATTAGTTTAAGACGTGTTACATTTGTTTATGCTGTGGAACATGTTTAATGATGCAATGATGTGCTGCATTCTTTTTATGTTGCATTTGTTTGACTCTGTAAAGCTGTGTTACTTTGTATAAAATACCTGCCTGGTCTAATGAAGAGCTGAATGGCCAATAGCTAGGCAGGAGAAGGATAGGCAGGGCTGCCAGGCAGAGAGATAAATAGGAGAAATCTAGGCTTGAAAGAAGAACGAGGAGCAAGAAAAGGAGAAGGGGAAGAGGACACCAGGAGCAGCTGCCCCACCACACAGCCAGCCACAGAACAAGAAGGAAAGAAAGATATATAGCATTAAAAAGAGCCAAAAATTTAAAAAAAAAAAAAAAAAAGCTGGGCGGTGGTGGAGTTCATCTTTAATCCCAGCATTTGGGAGGCAGATCTCAGTGAGTTCGAGGCTAGCCTGGTCTACAAAAGTGAGTTCCAGGATAGCCAGGACTGTTACAGAGAAACTGTATCTCGAAAAACCAAAAGAAAAAGAAAAAAGAAAAACAGCAAGGTAAAAAGCCCAGAGGCAAAACATAGTTAAAGAGAAATGGGATAATTTAAATTAGAAAAAAGCTGGCTTGAAACAAGTCAAGTTAAGCCCGGGCATTCATAAGTAAGAATAAGTCTTCCTGTATTTATTTGGGATCTGAGAGGCAGGCCCCCAAAGTGTAAAAAAAAAAGAAAGAGAAAAACCCCTACATTTGGGTTATATTTTTAAAAAGTAACAAAGTAAGTTTTGACTTTTAAAACAGTATCTGTTACATGGGATGCTGCAGTTCTATGAAAGGTTCCTGGGGAACTATAAGTGAATGGACCACACCAATTCCCGAGCCAGCTCATCTCTTCATTTTCCCTCCCTCTCATGCTGAGATCAAGGCTGTGTAGCACCATAGCACACATAGTTCAATGATCAGTCTTAACAGTTTCCAAAAATGAGGGACCAATTTGGTTTAAGCATTTGCCAACTCCCCACAATATTCACCAAGTCAAAATGTACACATATAGACACACACACACACACACAGAGGCACACCATAGACACACACACACACACACACACACACACACAGGATCTTTGGTATAATAAATACCGAAGTTAATACATAGAAGAAGCAAAACATACGTGACAAAGGATTGGAACTCTCAAGGCATGTTAACTACTCACTTGAAAAATGTTCTTGGTCAACACCATTACTGCTTCCCACCACATCACAGAACTGAGTGTTTGTAATCAGATTATGCATCCCAAGGATAGCTGCAGAGAGAACAGAGTTAGTTTCTACTTCTACCTGCTCTAAACTTTTTCATTTTTTTAAAAAAATTACTTTTATTGAGCTATATATTTTTCTCCGCTCCCCTTCTACCCTTTCCCATGATCCCCTCCCCATGCTCCTAATTTACTCAACATTTTCGTTTTTATAGACGTAGTCCTCCTGCCTCAAGCCTTCCAAGTAGCTGTGACTATAGATGTGTGCCCAGTACCCAGTTTGCAAACAAAAATATTTATTAGTATTTTGAGCATTCTCCAGACATTTTTTCTATTAAACTGAAAATGGACTTTACATAGCAAATAAGGAGGGTGGGTTTGGTGCAGTCAGAAATCACTGCCTTTGCTCCTCACTTCATCAATCCCCTTGTTACCTCTCAGCATCTTTAGATTTAGACAACAAAGTGACCAGGCTGACCTTAAAAGGAAAGCTATGCTTAGCTCCCCCTGGTGGCTAAAAGAAGAAACAGAAAAGATCTCCTTGCTGGTCACTATCCAGATCTCTAGGAACAAAACACCATACAGCACCCAAGGTGGGCATGGTCTGCATTTGACTATACTAAAAGTATGGTTCTTTCATTGAAGGTAATGTAGCATCTTCTGATGAAGGTACCATTTACAAACCCACCAGTCCTTTGTCCCTCAAGAAAATACCACCTTCTCTTGCTGTGACATCACACCTCACTCTGCCCCTTTCTGGGGTCCTTCCCAAGAGCCTTCACTCCACTTTCAAACATATCGGTTCTTAGAGTTCTCTGGTAGGTGGGTCTTCCTACATGTCACTCTGACAAGTTGGGGACATGAATACAGCTTTTGATTTCTATTCCCTCTCCATGAAACAGGGCAGAAGTCGACCATGAAGTCTGTTTCTAGTGTTCAGATAGGACAGGTTCACCAGCTGGTGACATGGCTTTTGTTGTTAGGAAGAATTTAAAATAGCAACATAGGAAAAATTATCAAATAAATTTTGTCAACATAAAATTCCACCATAGAGAGTACTTAAAAGAATTCTACCGTCAAGTTTACTGTGTAAAGTACAGTGTTTGTATAATACACACAGGTGCACCCTGCATGGCTCTCCCCACACCACCCTCACTTAAACTCTGCTCATCTGAGGAGATACCTCACCTGCAAGGTCACACAGTTCCGTGTCAGAGGCACTTGTCAAAGCTTCTTCTAGCTCTGGATCAAGAGATATGTTATCTTCTGTGAAAGTCTGCACAGGTTTCTGTTTGGGGACAAAAATTTTCCCTGAAAAAAAAAAAAAAAAACAAACACACACACACGTTTTGTTATTCATCTCTACTGCTCTTACTCATTTCTATTAATTCACTACCTTTGCCCATCAAGCATTAGGTAACGCATGTGCAACTGAAATGGACAGTCAGGTCAAAACTAACATCAACAGCAATATACACACCAGAAAGGAAGAATTACTGAGAAATCTCCCCATCTCTGAAAATAAAACAGCTCTTTTTTGTTGTTGTTGTTTTATTCTGAGACAGAGTTTCACCATGTGGCTGAGACTGGCCTAGATCTTTCTATGTGGCCTAGACTGGCCTGGACCTCATAATCCCCTCACCTCTGACTCCTGAGTGCACAATGGCTCAGTTCTTTCAAGGAGCAATTTGGAACCAATATTTAAATGAAGCTAGTTGAGTATTCAGAGCACTTGGGAAACTATGGAAGGAGGACCAGAAGCCAGCATGGGCATAGGCTCCAGGCTAGTCTGGCATGGGAAAACAAAACAAAATCCAAACCAATCAACCACCTGCGTGCATATACACATGTGCATAACACACATGCGCACAACACACATGCGTGCAACACATGCATGCATGCACAGAAACCCTAGAAAATCTATAAAACTTAAAAATAAAAATGGGATCTAATTTCTTATTGTTAAACTACAAACTGTTACAGTTACTTAAGGAATAGCAGAGACAATTATGATCCCAGAAATTCGAGTTCTAATTTTAAGGAAATTTCTCTATGTTCTAAAACTTGACAACCGCTTTTCTGAAGCAAACACACTAACAAGCTGTGAAGTAGAAGCAAGAGGATCACGAGTTCAAAGTTACCCTAAGCTATCTGAGATCCTGTCTCAAAAAAAAAAAAAATCAAAACAAAGTTATTTCATGTCTCTGCTAAAAGCTCCCCATCTCTTTACCTCATATATGCTGCTGTATACGTTTCTGTAAGTCTTTGGTTATTCTGAGCATAATTAAAGATTTATTTGTATTATTATTGACTTATTTTGCTTTGTTTGAGACAGGGTCTCTCTTTGTAACCCTGGTTACCCTGGTCACTATACAGACCAGGCAGGCCTTCAACTTAGAGATCTACCTGCCATCTACCTCATGAGTGCTGACCGTTTTTGAGAACACATCAGGAGTTTCCTGTCAAGGTCTGAGAGTTGGACCCTGAGATTTTGGAGGAGCTGCCTACTTTTCTGAGAACTGTGAGAGACTTCTCCATCCCCCAATATAGCCCTGACTACAAGCTCTCACTTCTGGCTTTTTGTACCTTGGAGCCAATTTGATCTGCACTTACCTTGTTTACCTTCTGCCCAGTGAGGGGGGAGAGTGACCTGGAGAGAACTGTAGCTCTGCTGCCCTCCCTCAGTCTCTCCTAGTTGACAGGCAAGCCTTGAGGAGTTTCCTGTCCACTTCTATTCTTGAAGTATCATCTCCATACTAAACAGACTCAGTCTGTCTTTATTGCTGCACTGTACCAAATGCCATGGCCACTAGCCACAAGTGGCAATTACAAAACTTTAGCCATATTTCAGGTGCTCAGTAGACACATCTAGTTTGATATCTAGGCTAAGCAGTATGGCAGAAATTAGCCAGTTATGGTTTATTGTTTATTTTGGTTGTGATGGCTTGACTGAAGAACTCTAAAGTCCACGGGCAGATGTCCTGTTTCGCAGCTGGTAATCCATCAGAGCAACTGTGACTTAATCCCTAGGTGGCCCTGGAGTGTGGGGTGGTGGGTAGTGGTAGTTACAAGCAAGTTACTGAAGTGTGGCCTGGGAAGATAACCTCATTTCTAGCCCTTCTGGGCTGGCAGTGACACAACATGCTCTCATTGTGGTGTTCTGATTGACCTTAGCCAAAAAATAAAGGAGCTGGTTGGCCATGTACTGACACATCCCAGGCAGCGATCAAATATAAACTTTTAAACAACCGGTCTTACTGTATAGACCTGGCTGGCACTGAACTCAGAGATCCTCCTGTGTCTGCCTCTGTCTCACAAGTGCAGAAACTAAATGTGTGTGCTACCACACCCAGCCCTAAAATCTCCCTCTAAAAGGAACAAAGTTGCTTTGCTAAGTTCTTTAGTTAAAATGACAGAAAAACTGAGACAGTGAGAACAGTTTTTATTTATAACTTCCTACATCTGAATTCAAAGTCAGAGATGTTCTGATTCAGAACCTATTACTGGGTGAATTCAGATGGCTTTGTATGAGTGAGGATATGTTAACTATATGCGCACCACAGAGCACCTGGCTGAAATACAGTGCTTTAAGTCTTAGCTATAGTAGTGACGATGTGCTAATGACATACATAGAGCATCTAGTTGAGACACAGAGCTTGAAGTCTTAGCTATAGCAATTATACAAGAGGAAGACATAAAAGGGATAAAAATAGACATCAAACTATCATTTACAGACTATATAATTCTGTCTGTACGTAAAAGATCATATGCAATGTAATCTCTCTCTCTCTCTCTCTCTGTGTGTGTGTGTGTGTGTGTGTGTGTGTGTGTGTGTGTGTGTCTCAGTTTTCCATTACAGGGTTTCTCTGTGTAGCCCTGGTCGTCCTAGTTGCTCTGTAGACCTTGAACTCAAAGATCTGCCTGCTTCTACCTGGGATTAAAGGTGTGCACCACCACCACCCGATATACTAGAAAACTTTTAGCTCTAATAAAAACAATATAGTTGCAGGATACAATATAGTTGCTGGGATTAAAGGCGTGCACCACTACCACCTGGTTAAATAAATTTTAAAAATGTAACTAATAGTGTAAAAGACTAAGCAAAAAGCTCCACTGCTTCAGAATGGCCATTTTATATAGACCGAAGTTCACTGAGATAGAGAGAGCTGTGGTCTGATCAAGGGGCTGAGTGGCTTCTTTAGCCATGTGATGTTTTCAATTTGCAAGCTAATCAGAACAGAGGCTTTGTTTGTTTGCTTGTTTTGTAAATATACATGTACTTGGGAGGCAGAGGCCACCCTGGTCTATAGAGTGAGCTCCAGGACAGTCAGGGCTGTTACATAGAGAAACCCTGTCTTGAAAAACTAGAAAAGAAAAAAAAAAAAAGAATATACATGTAAATACATCTCAAAATGTGCATCCCAGTCACGGAGGGAGAGTGAGAAAAAAGGGGCAGCAGCACTTGGCTCTGAAATGTGGCCTGGTTTTCTGAGTTACTAGTTGTGGTGGTTTGAATGAGAAAGGCCCCCACAGGCTCACTATTTGAACAACTGGTCGGCAGCTGGTAGGACTGTTTAATAAGGATTAGAAGCTGTGGCTTTGTTGTAGGAGTTGTTTCACTAGGAGTGATCTTTGAGGTTTCAAAAGTTTGTGCTATATCCAGTTAGCTCTCAGCTACTGCTTTATGGCATGCCTGCTGCCATCCTCCCTGTCAAGATGACCATAGACTCACCCTCTGAAACCGCTTTTCCAAGTAAATGCTTTCTTCTATCAGTTGCCTTGGTCGTGGGGGTCTTATCACGGAAACTGAAAAATAACTAAGGTGCTTGTCAACCTCCCAGGGAATGCTGACATTGTTGACTCAGGCCAGACTTAAAGCAGACAGGATGAAAATAATATGAATTCAGTAGTGTTGGGAGCAGACAGATCTGAGTTCAAGACCAGTATGGTCTAAAAAAGCGATTTTCAGGAAAGCCAGTAGAGAAACCCTGTCTCAAAAAAACCAAACCAAACCAAACCAAACAAGAACTCATTAGCTTCGGTTGGTTTCAAAGGGCTAGGGCAAGGATCTAGATGTTTCCATTTTCCTTTTTTGGTCATTCCCTTCACTAAGTCCTGTCTTTGGGCTTCACAGTCTCTTTTGCAGCACCAAGAATCACGTCCGCATAAAATAATGTGAGGTGAGCTAAGGTAAGATGGAGGGGAGGAAGGCATTTCCTCAAGTAACAACTTTTATAGCAGACTTCCATGGCCCCACTGAGCAGCACTTCAGCTGTGAAGGTGGAGAGTAAGCATCTGCGGGTGGTCCAAACAGCAGCAGCGGCTGTCTTGTGCTGAGCTAATGAATGAGGTACAAGTCCATGTTCTAATTCCTCCACATTCCCTGAGCAAGGTCCCAGGCACACACTGTGTACCTCCCTCTCTTGAACTTTTCAAGGACAGTCTATGTTCTGGTTGTCTCTGTATTCTTGCCTAGAACACAGTAGTCAATCCAGCTTGCTAAATAGCTACTTACCAAGCAACTTTTTAGTCCAAATAGTCTCATCTTATAAAGCATAATTTAAACATGCTTGTTCAAAGGTAAGATAACTAGGAACAATTTTATTTTACAAACATGAGTCTTTTACATGTACATGTCTATGCACCACATGAATGCCTGGTGCCCACAGAGGCCAGAAGAGGGCATCAGATCCACTGGAACTGGAGTTATATAGATGGTTGTAAGCGGTCATGTGGGTCCTCTAGAAGAGAGAGGCTAGTACTCTTAATCAGAGTCATCTCTCCAGCCCTGAAATAAAAGTTCCCAAATTCTTAAGCCAGTCCTTTTTCCAATAAGTTGGGAGCTTAAAATTTTAATTATTTCTGGTAGGAGACCTCCCCCCCCCCCAACAAAAATGCCAAGTTATATGGCAGTATGCATAACTGACCTCAGCACCAAACTTTGGGGTTCTAGTGATTAGGTAAATTTTTACTATTTATTTTTGTTTTATGTGCATGAATGTTTCTTCACACATTTATATGTACATGTTTGGTACCCACAGAGGCCAGAAGAGGGTGCTGAACCTCCTGGAACAGGATTTGTAGCTGTGAGTCCCTGTGTGTGTTGTGGGAACTAAACCTGTGTCCTGTGTAAAAGCAGCAAGTGATCTTAACCCCTAACCCAGCTCTAGCCTTTTAGGTAATTTTCCATTATTTGTTCATAATTAAAGGCAAATCCAAATAATTGTGTCCTAAAGTTCTCACAGTGATTACTATTACAATGACAATGGTGTATACAGGGGGGCAGGGAGTATGGCTCAGTGGTACAGCAT